TAATTTCATTAATTATTGTTCACGTGACTTATATGACAACAAACCTACATAATATAATGATCAACAAACAATTATTAAATATTTAATGGAATTTGTTTTATTTTAGTACAGAAAATCAGCCAGAGTTTTAGTGCTCAGTAAATTAAATTTGTGTACTGCTAGTTATGCAACCATTACCACAGTTTTTTGTGTTCAAGCAAAAATTCATATAAATTCGACAAAATAAATGCTACTGGTACATTATACAATATAAAAAACTGCCCCAGTTTTGATTAGAATAAATAATAATGACAAAATCAAAAAATACACTACAAAATAAAATTAATTTCTTAAATAAACACTCTTCACCTAATTAAAGAAATACGTTTATTTATTCGGTAATATACAACAGATTATTGAACTATAAATTGCTTCTAATAGTAATGTTGTCATCATATATACTTAAATTTATTTTTCAGTAGGTACATAAAATATCATAAAATATCAACAGATAAATATAATCCAGTTACGATTTAATTACTTTTGGTTATGCAACCTGTTTTACACAGATCTTTTGGTTAATTTAATTCAAGTAATAACCAAGTGGCAAAATATGCTTTAAATTTTTTAAAAATATATTTATTTGTGAATTACTATGTGGGTGAAACCTACATATATTATGATCAACAAACAATTATTAAATATTTAATGAAATTTGTTTTATTTTAGTACAGAAAATCAGCCAGAGTTTTAGCTTTAGTGCTCAGTAAATTAAATTTGTGTACTGCTAGTTATGCAACCAATACTACAGTTTTTGTGTTCAAGCAAAAATTCATATAAATTCGACAAAATAAATGCTACTGGTACATTATACAATATAAAAAACTGCCCCAGTACTGATTAGAATAAATAATAATGACAAAACCAAAAAATACAAGACAAAATAAAATTAATTTCTTAAATAAACACTCTTCACCTAATTAAAGAAATACGTTTATTTATTCGGTAATATACAATAGATTATTGAACTATAAATTGCTTCTAATAGTAATGTTGTCATCATATATACTTAAATTTATTCTTGAGTAAGTACATAAAATATCAACAGATAAATCATCGAGAGATAAATATAATCCAGTTATGATTTAATTACTTTTGGTTATGCAACCTGTTTTACACAGATCCTTTGGTTAATTTATTCAAGTAATAACCACCGAACAACGGTGTTCGGTGTAATAACCAAGCGGCAAAATATGCTTTAATTTTTTTAAAAATATATTTATTTGTGAATTACTATGTGGGTGATTAACGTTTCGACGTTGAATATGATGAAACCATCTTTTTTTGAATTTTGTCTTTGGTTTGGAACCTTTAGCCATGTAATTACACATAAATATTAGTATTCATATTCATTCATAGGTGATTGTAAAGGGAGGACACTTTTCACGCTCAAGGGTTCATCAGAGCGAATTCATTATAACACACAAAACATAAACCACAGATAGATAGGTGAACAACATATAGATATACAAACAAAGAAAATATCCATTTAATCAATCAATTTTTCAATCACACTTTTGATTTAATTTTTTGCAGAAATACCATAATAAATTTAAAAAATTTGTATTATCTTCACTTAATAGTACATTTAAGTTTAATGGCGTTTTTAAACCTAGTTTCAGCAGTTTTTGAAGTAGCCTCGTGCTTGTATTGACTTGTAACTTGTAAGGCTCAGTTAAAGAGTACCTATGTGATTTAAATCAGCTATACTAGTTTCACACTCACATCGGTCTGTTGGGAGAACTCCTATTTTGTGTAGATGTTTCGGAAACATCCATGATCACTTTTAATCTTAGGACAGTTAACAGTGTGTTTCTGCTTAGTGCTACAACTTTGTAAAATTGGTTCACAGCTACTGTTGCTTGTAATTTAAACAAATTAGTGCCTGTAGTTTCACCGAACTGAATCCAAAGTCTATCTCATTTAAATTTAATATTCTGTTTAACATATTCAAGGAGATTACATATGCTAAATTCTTCGATTAATATATATGTAGGTGCTTTAGTGGATTTTTAACTATTGAATGAGTTATGCCATAACCTAATATGATGTGCTTTAACAGCTTCATCATATGATATCATATATGATGAAGCTGATAATTTTAGCAACTATTGAAATATTTTTAATATGAATATATTGCTGTTAGTTGTGACTTTAAAGTTTCTAATGCATTTATTACTGCGAATAAATTGTTCCAAAGGTTTTCACAACAAAATCCAAGGGTTTTATATTAAATATGCTGGATTGATTATTTAGGGTAAATGCTTTTTTAATCTCAATTTTTAGTATAAAGTTAGTGCTGGTTGTACATGTTACTAATTTTGACTCATCTGTACAGATCACAGTGTAATCTGAATAGTTATTTAAGACCTCATTGAGAGAATTATGACAAAATTCAGTTTGGTTTGGTATTCAGGAATCAGTATTCAGGTATCAGGAACAATAACATTTGTAAATACAACACGTGTTAGGTGTGTCCAATGATTCCCATAAGTGTAAGATTCTTCTTCCTCTTTATAATCAATTCTGCTTATTCATTGACGGATTAATACCTCTATGGAAGGTTGTCACTCTTTGCATTGTGGGTGTGTCGGGTCTTGTCTCTGAGGCGTATGTCATTATTTTTCTTACACTGGCTATATAAATTCTTGACTACATCTCATTGTTAATGTGTTGGTTCATTCTGATCTTTCTCCAGGTCTCCATAACTAGACAGTATAATTCCTAGGTATTTCATTTCCATTACTTGTTCTTTGCTGACTACTATTATTTTAGTTTTCTGAGATAAGATTGTCATATTTAATTCTTTTACTCTTATGTTAAATCTGTGGAATAGTTTTTGCGCACTATTTTAGTCTTTGCCGACTATCTTTGTTAACGCTTTTAATCATTTCATCCATGATTAAATTAAAGAACATGGGACTCAATGAATACCCTTGTCTTATTCCGCTGCTTATTTCTATAGGTTCTGCAAGTTGTCCATCTATTCTGATTTCCATTTTGTTGTTTTGGTAGATGTTTTCGATAATTTTTATAATATTTAGGGGAATTTGTCTATTATACAGAAGGTGTATTACATCTTTGAGTCTTATTTTGTCAAACGCTTTCTTTAGGTCAATCAGACACAGAAATGCTGGTCTATTATCCTCGAGTGATTTCCCAGAAATTTGCTTTATAACGAATATCGCATCTGTACACGATCTTCAACTACGAAAACCCTTTGGTTCATGTGCTAAAGTTATCCTCTGATTTATTTGCACTTGTAAAATTTTAGTTGTTAGTTTTAGCGTAGTATTTAACAAGTTTATACCTCTGTAGTTTTCTGGCTGTTTTTGATCTCCTTTTTTAGCACTAGTTCTATTTAATTATAAAATTATAATTAGGTATAATTATTATACTTATAATTTAGATTAGTTAATCTATCTATATAATAGATGTAACACAGGCTCGATAGGTAGATAAAAATTGAAATGCCCCACGATCTCTTACAAAGCGTTTTAAGCAAATTATATAATACTTTTTCGCAGCAACTAATTGAGCAGTTAATATTATTGAGTCCCAACCCGTTTTCTGTCAAAGTATAACATCAAGGTATTCGAATTCCGAAACAATTGGAATGTCATTGCCCTGTAAGGGTACAGTGTGAGCTTTAATCATCGAGCAATAAGACAAAAGAGGGAATCTAATCGTTATAAAAAGGAGACCAAAAAAGTGGCCTCTGATGGCGGACACATCCGGAAATGTAAAGGCGCCAAATTTAAATTTTTCGACACTTATCAACAGTAGCTATGTAATATTTTTCAAAATGTGTCTTAGACGAGAAAGTTTTAATTAATTATTAATGATAAGAGTCTAAAATGCGACACAATTGTAAAAAACTTCATATAAATAAGATTTCATGTGACATTTGGGACAAACAATAACATAACCCAACTAAATTTGATGTCAAACAAGGAGAGAGACTCTCTATCCTTGTCTAAAGTGGCCTCTCAAGATGGCACTTCCTGTCTATCAATATGTTTACCCCCTCTACCTTTACATTCCCTCTTTTGTCTTATTGCTCGATGGCTTTAATAGGTGTTTTCTGAAGAAAAACACTGCGGCATACTTTTGGTACTAAATGGTGAAGCCATTTAACTAAGACCAGCTATCAAAGTTGCACATTGTATGTTTGAGTTCATATCCATTGTTAGTAGAATATCAGCAGCATATTTTAAGCAAAAAATATTGAGAGACTATAAATTGTGCAAATCGTATTTGTACAAATTAAAAAGAAGTGGACTTCCCTGTGGACCTTTTGATGTAATCATGGACGTATAAACACACATCTGTGTTTATACGTCCATGGATGTAATCATTGGTCCAATGTTATCTTGATCTACTCGAATCGATACATTTCTTGCCCCTTTTATAGAAGATGTTCTAAGGGACAACTACAAAAAATAAATATTTATGGCAAGTAAATATGTATACGAAAGAATCAGGAATGAGGAAATACGAAACCAGAATACGAATACAGGAATTAGAGATATCTTTCAGATAGAATACAAGGAAGGCAATTACAATGGTATGGTCACGTGATGAGAATGGAGGAGGAGCGGTGGCCAAAGAAAGCCTTAATGTATGTTCCGCCAGAAAGAAGGAAAAGGGGAAGATCACCAAATTCCTGGAGAAGAGAAATTACAAAAACAATGCAATCTAGAGGCTTAGAAGAGGGAGATTGGGGAGATAGGAAAAAATGGAGGCTGAAATGCGGGAAGCGGCAATCGCCGTAGGACCCCCGTTATATGATGATGATGAAATATGTATACAAAGCTACCATCAGTACCATCAGGCAATCAGCAGCTTTGTTTAGAATTTTATTATTTTTAGAAAACGAGTTTTCTTTACTGACATTTGGTAACACTGACCATAGCACACTTCCCCACTGACATGACATAACTCGTACCCACATGTCAAATGTCAAATTCGGCATGTAAATATAACCTAGCTTTATGATCTATAGACAATTATTTTATATTCACAGAAACATTTTTAAAAACTGGCCCAAGATGAGTACATTTGCACAAAAATTAAATCCGATTACAGGAACTATTGACTGGGTGGTTCAGGATGCCAATTATGACTATCACCAAGAAATTGCTAGAGCAGCCTTTGCAGATATGTTACATGATACTGAAAGAAACCAAAAGTATGAACAAGCCTTGAAAATAGCAATTGATAAAGTACATTCGAATGGTAAAAAAGCTAATGTTCTAGATATTGGAACAGGTGAATAAATACATTACTTATTTTGATTTACAAGGTATATACTGGAAATGTGTCCACTTTTTGGCAGATGATATTGCCCTTAAGTATTTAGGTCAAAATGAGGCCTTAGTGTAGACAAATCATAATCCCAATAATTTTCCTTATGCAGAAATCACAAATTATACAAACAATCAGACTGACTTATATACTGTTATTAACGAAAAATTTAATGTTATAGGTACAGGTCTGCTAAGTATGATGGCAGTTAGAAATGGAGCTGATTCAGTAACAGCTTGTGAAGCGTTCAAACCCATGGGCGAATGTGCAAAACAAGTTATTACCCAAAATGGTTATGCTGACAGAATAAAAGTTATCCCCAAAATATCTTTTGATGTAACTGTAGGTGAAAAAGAAGACATGGAAAAAAGGTGCAATATCTTAGTAACTGAAGTATTTGATACTGAACTGATAGGTGAAGGAGCTCTGAGTATATTTCTACATGCAGTTGAGAATTTGTGTGAGCCTGACTCTATTATTATACCCCAGTCAGCTAATTTATATGTTCAGGTAGTGGAGTCACCTGTAGCTCAAAATTGGAATAGGATTAAGGATGTATTTAATGATGAAGGTGAGTTACAAACTGATAATATTGAAAATATACATTTTTTATAGTTTTTCTACAGTACTTCTAGAGTAACTGTAAAAGACAATAGTTAGTATAAAAAGTATAAAAAGGTCAGCTTTAAAACAGTTTAATCAGACTCTGTTTTTTCCCTCTCACTTACTATAGTTAATTAACAAGAGCAGGCAATCAGACAAAAATAAAATGTAGATTAAGATCAATCAAGATAAAATTGATGAATTATTATTAAATGATATTCATACATTATAGACTGATGACAGAACAAGATATTGATGCCTACTTTTGGCAGGAGGTTAATAATTGCAGTCATAGGAAATAATGAATTCCTGAAAAAACTAATTGTAGCAATATTTGGTAATTTGATATATTATAATACAAAATTTTGGTCCAAAAAGGGATGTAAAACTAGACAATTAAGGAATAAATGTTTATAAAATTCTTCTTTTTAAACTGCTTTTTTCTGATACCATTTAGGAATAATACTGACTATTTGTATTATATCTAAGCTGCTCTGAACTTCCTTGAAACTAGTCCTTTAAATACCTTCTTCCAATAATTCTTTAAATTAAGAGGCCTAAATCTCTTTATTTGATTCATTTTTGAATCTAATAATAACTTTAAAAATGTTTATTACTCAAGTCTTTGAGTCACAATGTCATCAAATGGGGACATATAATTTCAAAAAAATAATTTGACATATTATGGAAATTTTGAAGTGTACTTACTATTTAATTTCATTATTTGCACCTAGAAGCTTATAATATTTGAAAAGAACACAATTTATCTTAGTTTAGAAGGGTAAAAAAATATAATAATTTTAGTAGCTTCGATAGCTTTCATAAACCATTATGAATGTAAACAGAGAAACTGCTTTAGTTCAACTGGAATTTAACAGATTGTATTACGGGTCGTAAATCTAATTAAGATCGGAAGTTGTGAGATAACTACACTGTTGCTATACCATAAGATCCTGTAATATTTACTTTTTTAAATGAAGTTAAAATTCTTGTGCCATCAATTGAGAACACAGTGACTGAAAGGGTTAAGTAACTGTTTTTTGTCTGTCTTTTTTATCATTGTTATCTGTTTTCCAACTCCTAAAATGTGTAGTTTTCTAATTCTTTAGTTGACTACTGACCAAGTTAGGATTCAAAACCTAAAATTACCTCTAGTATAAAATCAATATCAAAAAGTTTAAAAAATGAGACTTTTTCTATGGTATGAATATTGTTCTGAAAATAGGATGACCAAACCATTGAACAGTATTCCAAAATAGTTCAAACTAAGCAACAATACACTAATCTTGTTGAATCAATGGAAAAATACTTTCAATTCCTTGTAACAAAACCAAGAAGTTTAGATGCCTTTATTGAAATAGAGTTTATGTGGCCACAGAAAGTAAGCTTCTCATCAAAAATTACACCCAAATCCCGCATAGAAGAAACATAATTCATTGGCTGATTATTAATAGTATAGCTTGTTTTAATTCTATTGACTTTACAAGAAAAACTATAAAACAACCTTTTTTTACATTTATGTGTAGTTTGTTTTGATTTCACCAATTTTGTAGTCTGTCTAAGTCATATTGCACCAAGGCTTCATCTTTTAAGCTATCTATAACTTTACAAAATTTCAAGTCATCTATCAACATTAGACATTTGGTATTTAGGAAACAGGAAGTGATGTTGTTAACAAAGGTATTAAAAAGAAGTGGAGAAGTGTGGCCTCCTTGTGTGTGAGGAACTCCAGATGTTACTGAAATATTTTTAATCAGATGACAACCTATCTTGACTCTGACTTCTACCAGATGTAGATTTTTTAATCCATTCAAAAAACCTGACATGAAAGCCTACATTAGTTAATTTAAGTATTTGGTAATCTACACGATCAAGTGATGTGGAAAAATCTCTGTATATTGCATCTACCTGTTTACGGTTTTTCATTTGAGATAATATATTAGATTGATAGCACTGCAAGTTTGTTGCAGTGGATTTTTGCTAAGAAAACCATGTTTTGATTGAGATATTAAGCCATTACATAACCAAGAAAGTTGCTTTGCTATAAGACAGTCAAAGAGCTTAGGGATCGCAGATTGTATACAAATGCTACAATAATTTTTAATGTTGTCTTTCTTACCATTTTTAAATATATATAATTAACAATGTAACAAACGGCATTATAAGAGTACAAACACACTTTTTGAATAAAAAATTAGGCACTCCATCTGGGCCAGCAGTAAGCATATTGGGCAACTCATTTATGCCATTAAAAATATCGGTCATCGTATTTTAAATCTAAATCTTTTATAAATATTAAATAAATTTATATAATTATATCCTGCCTCACTTTTCTTTTATCTGCACTTGTTCACTAAGTTCCCATTCTTTATTTGTTTAAGCTTGTTGATTCCAATATAGTTTCTGCATAAGATGAATAATCTTTTAGTCAATATTCTGAGACATTATTTAAAATAGTGTGTTGTTCAGTGACGTATCTATAGGGTGGCATGAGTGGCAAATTGTCATGAGCCCTTGCCCGGCCCGAGCTCGTAAGTGACCTAATATTTTTAACAAAGTTTGGTAAAAATTACAAATCCAAACAAATTCAAATAAATTATTAAGTTTTAAAAGCAATCATAAGAAAATGATCAATTTTGGAACTCATCTATTGGTTGCTTCATTTTTTGTCACCATGCTTATAACCCAGTCAAGGAAAAAACTAAGCTGACAAAATCTTATACAGATATTTAAGGCTTATAAACGGTATATGAGGGGTAGCTGATGGCAATCCTATGAAGACGATTTTGCTTTTTTTATTAAACAATCTTAAAAGTGGAAAAAAAACTATTTTTGCCTTATAACATATGTTTCTTATACCTTTCAGAGAAAAATGGTTTAAATAAACGTTGGAGATGATAAAAATTATGACAAAAAATAAATTTCCCAAATTTTAAAAATGTCAAAAGTTATACATTTTAACAAGCAAAAAGGCAGCTCTTTTTAAAACTATTTTTTAATAAAAAATTTAATAAAATGTTGTATTTTTTTAAATACATCTTAAAATGAAGGCTTGTAATAGAATTGATTGCGATTTACAAATAGAGTGACTGTTTGGACAGGTACAATTTTTTTAACTAATTTCTCTCCAGGATAAACAAGTTGAATAACTTATTGGGAATAACAATGGAATAAACTATTTGGTTGATCTGATTGAAATTTAGCACAGTCTCATAACTCATTAACTGCTACAATGTCTAGAAGATATATTACATTCATATTTTCTAGAATATATGAGTGGGAGCAAAAAACGAAAAAAAATTGTTTCAAGTGTCAGCAAAAGTTAAGGCAGTACGAAGTTTTTTTTATGACAGAGGGTGGTCCAAATGTTCACATACCTCGGTTCTAGAAGGTTTTTTGAAAGGCAGAAGAAGGTGGGCAGAACCACCAGCCTCAGTCAATGCCAGAGACTGACCTGAAACACCCTCCTCAGCGGTGAATTATTGGCCGGATCGCCCTGATTGGGACTTAACATCGGCACGGCATTCACCCGATCTCTCATTCACGCACAAATTTCACGCGTTCCAGAACTCTCACACTACGACTTAATTTTTCTCTCACTCTGTTCCATCTTATCCCTTCTTATTCTGGCTTATCTTCCTGCTTGTTTCTGCACACCCTGCCCTCTCTCACAGTCGTTTTTCTTCTAGTTCCTTTCTCTCCAATGTTCTCCTCACATATCTCTGAATTGCTTACCACCGATCTGACGACCTAAGCATCTCCTCAACTAGTTCCGTGACTGATTGCACCCTACTGTCTAGCTCTCTCTCAAGCAGGCACCTCTCACCTATCCATCTATCGCATACCATTAGAGTGTGTGAGGCAGTGTCCGATATTTCACAATACAGGCATTTGTCATTTTCTGTCTTTCAAAATCTGTAAAGGTATGCCCTGAAGCAACCATGTCCTGTGAGCATCTGCGTCAGGAAATAATCTAAACGCCGGTGCCCGCAATCATCCATCTTCTCAGATTAGGAAACAAAGACTTCGTCCATTGCGTCACCCTTCTCATTTCGTCCCATTCCTCTTGCCACACCATTATGGACCTCTGACTTTCTTCTTTTTTTAAACGTTCTGTTGCTATGTCTTCATTTCTTCTCTCGTATATTCTTCCTCTTTCCTTCACTAGCATGTGCATCGGAATACACCCGGTGATAACTCCCAACGCCTCGGCAGAGACTGTTCTGTATGCACACGCCACCCTCAATAGACTCTTCCTATCTGCTCCGGTGAGCTGCTTACTGTACGTTTTTGTTAAAACTGCAGTACTCCAAACAGGCGCAGCGTATCTCACCGCAGCTCTTTGAGTCACCGCCTTTACATGTTCCCCCCTCTTTCCGTTTTGACTCAGAGTCACCCCTAAATACCTCACGCATTTTCTTGGAACCAATCTCTTTCCTGCACATTCGAATGTTATCCCATCCCTTTTTCTTGGTCCCTTGAGAACTATAGCCTCGGTCTTACCCAAAGACAGTTCTAGCTCATGCATTTTCATCCATTCCTCGACTTGGTTGCATGTACGCTGTGTACCAAAGATAAGGCCCTCCCTGTCCCGCACCACTACCAGCATAGCGACCGCAAATGCAAAAGGGGTTACACCCTCTCCATATTGTTGGCTCACAACCCCATCATATGCCAAGTTCCATAGCGTGGGACAGACCCCTGCGGCACTCCAGCCGTCACGTCAACCACTTCTCCTTTTTCACACAATTTTCCTATCTGAAAGATAGTCGGAGACCAAATTTATCAAGTACCTCGGACACCTTCTCTCTCGTAGAGCGTTCATTACCTCTTTCCATTTTAGTGTCCGCGTAACTCCCGGAAGACTTCCATCACCGCATCCACCGTGCTCCTGTTCTTTCCGAAACCCTACTGCCTGGCTGACTCTTCAATCACTGTATCTATTCACCCTCTGAGAAGCCTCTCGTATAATTTACCTATGCATGACAGAAGGCAAACAGATTTTTTTTCTTCCCTCTTTGGGAGTAGCACGAGCCACGAGATCTTCCAATTTGCCGGAAATCGCTGAGTTTCAATCAGTACATTGATATGTTCTCGGCAGGTCAGCTAGTTTATAAAAAACTGACAAATGTGTGATAAATAGAAATGAGAAAATAATTATTTTAATTTTATCTTGCCAATGGCCTATTATATGATTTCATATAGTGACTTTTTAGTTTAATATGTTTAATGTTTTAGGAAAACTTCTTGTTAAAGTACCAGAAGCCATAAAAAAATGTGCAGGTTCCTCAGCAGTACATGACATTCAGCTAAGCCAATTTCCTCGGACTTCATTCAACACCATAATATCTCCCACTCCTATCTGCACGTTTAACTGGTCATCTTCACTACCTTTTAAGAGACTTCACTCTGTTGAAACTAGAATAGAACGAGATGGAAAAGCCCAAGTGGTTTTTATGTGGTGGGATCTCCAAATGGACTGTGAGGAGAGGATTTTATTAAGTTGTGCACCTGTCTGGGCACATCCTGAGGGTAAGATGAAGTCTGTCGAGGAGATACCTTGGAGAGATCATTGGATGCAAGGTGTATATTACTTGCCACAAGAAATAGACGTGAAGAAAGACGAAAAGTATATAGTGCACTGTGGTGTTGATGAATATTCTTTGTGTTTTAAAATGGAAAGTGTTAAGAGTAGTGTTATTACAAGTACGCTAGAGCCTCCTGTTTGTAATTGTGGATTACATATTAGCTTTTCAAGAACTCGAATAGGACAAATGAATGATTCTAGGAGGATAAAAAAATATTTAGCACTTTTTGAAGAACATTTAGACAAGGATAGTTCCGTTCTAGTTTTAGGAGATAGTTTTTACTCTGCCCTGGCTGCTGCTAAGTTAGGAGTGAAAAAAATGTACTTTTTAGAGTCAAATAAAATATCCAGAGGTATATTATTAGATTATATCAATGCAAATGACATTGAAAATGTAAAAATAATAGAATCATTAGACGAATTGAAAACAACAGATTTAAGTTATGTAAATGTAGTACTAGCAGAACCGTATTTCACTAGCAGCATTCTACCATGGGATAATCTAAGAGTTTTGTATTTATTTAGGCAGATAAGAGATCAGTTATCCCGTGACGTTCTTATATTTCCAAAAACGGCGGTGATCAAAGCAGTTCCAGTACATTTTAAGGACTTGTATAAGATTCGAAGTCCTTTGGATACTTGTGAAGGATTTACAATGGATGCATTTGATAAATTAATTGAGGTTTGTAGATTTTTTATATTTATCCATATATCGTAAATTTTGTAGCTCACTGCATTAAAAAACAAAACAGTAATCCTTGTGTTTCCAAATAACAAAGTACACTGTATCAATAAATGTTACAAAAAGCTCTTTTAAATTAATTACTATTTAACTGGGAATAAGCCACAATTAAAGGTTAAAATACGTTTATTGACGTTTCAATTTCCACTTCGGAAATCGTTCTCAAAATACAAACAGTAAATTAAACAAATTTTGTTTTTTGTTACTTAGTGAAAAATTCTTCTAATAATCTAATTTTATCTGACTCATTTTTATTGACAGTTCAGACATACATTATGCATTTTAAGTAGACGACTTTAAAATGATATTGCCATTATTGTTGAGTTGCACTCCTGGGACGACTTTACTTATAATATAGTTCATTCGATTACATGAAATCAACTTTAACTTGGGAATATCCGTCAGAAAAAAATCATAGCATGTAATTCGTCTTTAAAAAGACAAACACATGCCATGATGACAGTAAAATTCTCCTCTTAGTGATTCCATAGTAAATTATGAGGGAAAAACCAGGAGAAAAAACTCATAATACAATCCCGCCATGGTAAGTATTTGGTCGTTCATTTAGTTTGCCTTCAATAAACACAAATTCTGATTTTGTATGTTTGTTATTTAAAAAACATAAATGATGTATCCTCTATATGTTACTGACTTACTAATACTGGTATTTTCTTATTAATAACTTCCTCTTTCAATATGGGTAACCAGATCCTACTACATTCTGTCGAGGAATTTTGTGACACAATTGGTCTCATTTAGAATAATTAGAGCCGCTTCTTTGATTTTTCTTTTTTTACCATCCGTTTCTTTTAGGACTACATTTGAATTATTCCATTGAACCCTATGTTCATTATCCCATGTGTGTTTACATATTTGAGATCTATAAAATTCTCTATTTTTAATATAATATTGATGTTCACTTATTCTAACATTTAATGGCCTTGATGTTTCACCTAAATAAAACTGATCGCATTCACAAGGTATTTTATAGATGCAATTATTTGTCCTTTCTTGTTCATTGTTAGGTTTGGTTTTGGACAAAATATATCTCAACGTGTTTGTTGTTTTGAATGTTGTTGAAATGTTGAATTTATTTCCTATCCTTTTAAGTTTTTCTGATAATCCTTTTATGTACGGTATTGTTATTTTCCTCGTATTATTCCTTGTGTATGCTGTAGGATCTCGTTCTAAGTTGTTCTGTTCTATTCGATCGATTGTTGAAAATTCCTTATTTATAAACGATAAAGGATAATCATTTTTTAATAAAACAGATGTTAACAAATGTTTCTCTTCCAAGAACGAATTTTCATTAGATGGAAATTTTTTTATCTTTCCTGGATGTTTTAATCTCTAAGAACGATACTGGATATGAGACTCAGGTGTATAGAAAACCAACACACACCAATAGATATTTAAATTTCAAATCAAATCACAATATTAATGTAAAAAAGGGAATAATTAAATCCTTATACGATAGAGCCAAAATTACTTGTTCTAATGAAAATTATAATGTAGTCCTAAAAGAATCGGATGGTAAAAAATGAAAAATCAAAGAAGCGGCTCTAATTATGCTAAATGAGGCCAATTGTGTCGCAAATTCCTCGGCAGAATGTAGTAGGATCTGGTTACCAATATTGAAAGAGGAAGTTATTAATAAGAAAATACCAGTATTAGTAAGTCAGTAACATATAGAGGATACATCATTTATGTTTTTTAAATAACGTAACATATAAAATCAGAATTTTGAAGTTTGTTGAAGGTAAACTAAATTCACGAACAAATACTTACAATGTCGGGATAGTATTATGAGGTTTTTTCTGGTTTTCCCTCATAATTTACTATGGAATCACTAACAGAAGAATTTTACTGCAACATCTCATGTGTTTGTCTTTTTAAAGACGAATTACATGCTATGATTTTTTTCTGACGGATATTCTCAAGTTAAAGTTGATTTCATGTAATCGAATGAACTACCTTATAAGTAAAGTCGTCCCAGGAGCGCAACTCAACAATATTGGCAATATCATTTTAAAGTCGTCTACTTTAAAATGCATAATGTATGTCTGAATTGTCAATATAAATGAGTCAGATAAAATTAGATTATTAGAAGAATTTTTCACTAAGTAACAAAAAACAAAATTTGTTTAATTTACTGTTTGTATTTTGAGAACGATTTCCGAAGTGAAAATTGAAACGTCAATAAACGTATTTTTATCTTTAATTGTGGCTTATTCCCAGTTTAATAGTAATTAAATTACTTTACACAGTTCTATATATTCTGTATTTTCAGCGGTCAAGTAAGGTAGATGATATTGTGGAAGCTCAACCTCTTTGGGAGTATCCTGGGTAGCGCTAAGTGAAGTACAAGAACTTTTATCAATTAGTCTCATTGATACCACCGAAAAAGCTGAATGCAATGGATCATTTAATATCAAAAGGTAAATTAGTATTTATAATATTTAAAAAATTATAAAATATACATAACCTAGCTTCTAAGCACAAAGGTCTGTAAACACGTCTTTAAAACATGTAAATCTTTTTTGTTACATTTCCAGCATTCTGAAAGAATTTGTCGCTAGATTATAAATAAACTGTTTTTTTACGAACACATAGTTTTGAAGATCTATATTTTCTTGCCACTGTTTACACAGTTTTATTTTCTTCTTTATTTTTCCTTGTGCCTCGTTTGACCACCACCAGATCCCTTTATTCTCAAAATTCATTCCTGAGATTTTTTCCAAGTATTTCAATAGCAGTACCTCTAATAATACAAGTCAAATTCCTCTAAATTGTATTAGGGACTTCCTTTCATGTTTCAACACATTTTTTCTACTACTTTTACCCTGAATAGACATTCTTTCTCATCTATTAACATTCACAACTTGATTTTTTGTATTTCCCTCAGATAGTTTGTTTTAATTTCGTTGTTTACTTCGAGAAGTTGACTTCTTCTCTTTTTAAAAAATGTTCATATCATATTCAGCTTCAATTTGAAAGCATAGTCCTCCATGTTTTACTTCATTTTTACTTCATTTCAAATAGATAATAAAATTTTATATAATTAAGGAGATATAAATCAAAATGATGGTGTCGTTGTATACATAAAAAAGAATTTAAGATTTACGTTAAAGATTGTAAACATTAATGTATGTAAGGTAGTAGAGATAACTATATTAGGTAAATTCGAATTCAAAACGATCTAACAGATACAATACCATACAATCCATGTGAGAACGTGCTTACGACAGAGAGATGCCCTATCCTGTGTTTTATTCAACATCACATTAGAGAAAATACTTAGGGAGTCAAAAGTCAACACCAGAGGAACAATAATAACAAAAAGTGTACAAATATTGGCATTTGCAGATGATGTTGATATCATAGCTAGAAGTGAAAGAGAGATGATAGAGCATTTAATGCGATAGAAAGAGCGGCACAAAACAGTGGCCTAAACATTAACGAAATAAAAATGAAATACATGAAGGCCAGTAAATCGACAGGTCAAACAAACCTACAGAATCTGACAATAGGAGACTATAACATCGAAAGCATGAAAAGTTTTACATATCTAGGTTCACTAGTTACCGCAGATAACAATATCAGTGAATAATTTAAGAGAAAAATACATATCGCTAATAAAACATATAATGAACTGATTAAACATCTAAGATCTAACATCACAAGAAAAACCAAATGCAAAATATACAAGACCTTGATAAAACCGATCCTTGTATATGGATCAGAGACATGGACACTGTCGAAAAGCGATGAGAACCTATTAGGTACATTTGAACAAAAAATCCTTAGACACATATATAAGGGTGTAAAGGAAAATGATGACATATGGCGCAGAAGATATAACTTTGAACTATACACAGCATACAATGAACCCGAGATCAAAACATCCATAAAGATCTGACGTCTGCGCTGGATGGGCCATGTTGAACGGATGTTGGAGACTGAAACTCCAAAACATATAATGAGGCAAACACCAGTAGGGAGAAGGTAAAAGGGAAGACCCAAACTTAGATACATGGAACAAGTGGAACAAGATCTGAAAACACTTAAGATTACCAACTGAAAAACAAAGCAAGGAACAGAACAGAATGGCGGAAAATCCTAGAATAAGCCAGGCTCCAGAAAGGGTTGTCGAGTTACTGATGATGATGATATTAGGTAAATACAGTGCGTTAAGTTTTGGATTAGGTATACACTCTATAAATGGCAACACTGCGCGTCTTCGACTTGCACTACATATCTGCTTCGTTGACTCGTCGTTGCACGTCGCCGGTCGGCAAATTTGTCATATTGTCATTATACCGTGGTTGTTTAAAGGTATAACAGCGTAGAGTTTTAATTTATTTTTGTAAACATGTCTGTTTATATGGCCGCGGAAAAAGCTCAAATAATAAAATGGTTTTACAGTGGCAATTCTGCGCAACAGTGTGTAGATTTATTTTCTGTGTTTTTTGAGGGAAGACCAATTCCTTGTGTACAGTCAATTTATAATATTGTTAAAAATTTTGAGAGTTGTTATTGCCTCAAAAATTGCAGAAAATGTCACGCTCGAGAAGTGTTACCAGAAAAAGTTGAGGAAAGAGAATACCGGAATACACAAATTTGTGCAACAATCGAGGTAGATTCAACACGTTCAAGTAGAAGCGTTGCTAGAGAGTTAGATGTTAGCAATGTTACTGTAACGAAAGTATGGAAAAAGCACGGTTACAAGAATTTTAAATATTCGAAAACGCAGCAGCTTTATCCAGACGATTACTTTCGAAGAATGGAGTTTTGTGAAACTCTAATAACGAAGGCTAATAGTGAACCAAATTTTATTAAAATCATTTTATTCACTGATGAATCTTCTGTTTCGTTAGTAGGGAGACACACTCCTTACATTACGAGGTATTGGGTGCGGGAAAACCAGCACAGAAGTGTTG